CACACTTTGAAAAAATGGGTCACACTTGAGAAAAAAGGTCACAATTGGGAAAATGGGTCACACTTGGAAATATGGGTCACACTTGGAAAAAATGGGTCACCCTTGGAAAAATAGGTAACAATTGGAAAAATGAGTCACCGGCTTAGAAAAGTGGGTCAAAAATTAATTATGTTCATTGGTTATGTTAAAAACAGCAGTAAAAGCTAATCATGTATATAGAAAATGCCTTTTCCACTTGTTTATGTATTCATGACTAATGCTTGTATATTTTGAATTTGTAGTTTGAAGATCTATTTCATGACATTTTGAAACTGGTGTTTCACGTGGACCTTGGCACAATACTCAAGAAAAATTCCCTGCTTAAAATGACATGATTTATGTATATTAGGTTTGAGAAGTCGGGGTTCATTGAAAACAGTTTCACAACTAAAAACTAGTTTTGAACTATTGACTTTGTCTGTGACTGGTCCCTCGGGCGATGTACAGTCGGCTCCCGAAATCTCGAACCTCAAGGAAAATCAGTTGAAAAAGGTTCGAGTTATTGGGAGTTCAAGTTATCAGGGGTTGAGAACAAAGGACCGACAATAAGACAAAAACGGTGTTTACCATATTTCTACTTTCGTGTTACTATTCATACAGTGTTTATTTTGATCAAATTTAATTATAGACGTAACGTGAAACAGAACAAGGCAAAGTAAAGCAACAGGAGATCGGAAGTCCATTTACTGCGAACTTTGCGGGTTTCAAAAGGAACAACGTCGGGCTACTGCCGCAGAGTTCATGGACTTCATGCGTCTAGTAGTTTCAATGTTTTGCTGAGACTACAGTACTGATTGTTTTGAGCTGTCACATATTGACCAACATGGTTCGAATTATTGAAGGTAAAATGGTATAAAAAATAACCGAAAGGGAAACGAAAATTAACTCAAGTTATATTAGCAGGACGTTCCAGTTACATAGTCAGTTATTGCGGGGGTAAAATTGCAATAAATATCTGACGGAAATCCAGGGGAAATCAATTTTGGTTCGAGTTAGAGCGAGGTTCGAATTAGTGAGAGTGCGAGTTATCAAAGTTATCAGGAGTCGACTGCAGCGAGTTTCTCTTGATACGAAATGGGAAATACATAAAGATTTGTTACCTGTAGCGAAATTTACAACGAGCAAGTAGCCGTTGAATACCGACGGGCACTGTCAGATTCGTGTTTGTTAGATACCAGAGGTATTTACAAAGATGCCACGCACAATTTTGAAAGAAAGGTAACTATTTCGATTTTAACCAAATAACAGTTGGATTCGCACATCTCGTGATTTCAAGTAGGACTGAACCGTTCCCCGCTTTGTTAGGCGTTAATCATGTTATAAACGGAAACATTTCCGTGTGAACAATTTTACGGTTAAAAAAACAACACGGCTCAGTTGAAAGCGAAAAACCCGACTGTTTTCCCGTTTTGACAGTGAAAAACATGCGTCGCTTAGTCCATAGTGCGTGACGCGAAAGAAAACTGTGAGAAAAAAATAGCCGCGCGAAATCCTGGGGGCGAGGAGCGCGCTCCTCCCCACCAGGATTTTGCGCGGCCATTTTTCTCTCGCGGTTTTCTTTCGCGTCACGCAACGACGGACTAAGCGAAAGAGGGACTCCTCTTTGATGACGTTGATTTTGTTTTCGGAGTGATTCCGTTGACAGGTCAGTAGATGCCGTCTTTAACACGTTTCTTGTCAAGAAGCTTCAAATTATTTTTACCCTGCGGTTACGTTGGCTTTGATTAAAACCAGATCCCCTCCTGAATTTTCGCCAGCGCAAAGTCAGTAGGAGGAAGCTATTTCAGAACGTCCTAAATCTCGTCGTGTATCAAAACGAGTCTCCCTACGAAACCATTCGTATAGAGCATATGAAAATCTGTTCCGCCTTCAAGGTCATTTTCATACAAATTAACCTCATCTTTTTGTCAAAAGTTTTGCACGAGGACACAAGATAACTCGGAAATAGCCTATTGTGCTGTCAACGAACTATGCTTTTAGAAAAGTTTCTTCATTATCTTCTATATCCCCGATGACAAGTAATCTCATTAGCAAGTAATTAAAAGTGGACCTCCCAGGAGAAAAACTGAAATAAAATTCCAAGGGGCCAAGGGGAGGGGAACATCTTTGTCATCTTCGGTTGAGCTTTGTTTTTGCTTGAGCACAGTCTGTGACAGAGTTTTGAACAGACAGATGTTCAGAGAAAGCGTAACAAGACTGCAAGGTTAATTTCAGGCTCCCTGAAAAATATCAGTAAACCTTCAGGAATTCTAATTTTTCGTGGAGACGTTTTCTAATCACAGCTGTCGTTAAAATAATTGATGTGTAAGAAATTGGGGGAGTTTTGACAGGCCAATATGGTTCAGTTAACATCTCTGCGAGTCACAAAGAACTGACATTTTGAAGGCAGACATTTTCTGTCAAGTCGGCACCTATTTAGAGGGCCAGGGTGTCTTTTAGAGAAGACGTCAGTGTTTTATTTCAGTACTTAATTAATAATCTGACAAGGGTATTCCGACAATATAGTTTATACTACCCGGGCAAATGAGGAAAACGATTGTCGAAGCCCAATTCTAAACGAATTGTTGTTACAGTAGTTTTAAATTTGGCTTCTTGAGTCAGTCTTCTGTGTACGATTTTCGACCTTGATCTTGTTTTCGGTTTTAATAGCCATCTCATTGATCGACTTCACCAAATAGATGGAAATTATAAACGAGCATCGGTATACTTTGGACCAGCGGGTATACTTTGGACTGACCGACTGCCGAATCAAATAACTATGGGCAGTATGATATCGGTTTATAAAGGTTTGCACCTCTGGCGTGTTAAAACGGCTCACTCCCTCGTCTTGCTAGTTTATATTTTACGCATCCATACCATTTCAAAAATGTGAGCAGCGAACTGAACTGTAACATTGACTATATAGTTACATCAATGGGTGCGGTTCTTAAACAAGGACACGGTTCAATATCTAGATCTGTTTGAGGAAATTTTATGCCTTCCATACGCCGATACGTGAAAGTTAAACAATTCTAGTTCTTTAGATAAAATATACACCACAAATAAACGTACCTTGGCAAACACGCAGCTCGGACGAGCTTGGTAGCTGTCAGAAGAATCTTGAGTTGTCTTCTCTTCCATATTCCGGAGCTTTAGTTTCAGATATCTAATATACACCGAAGCATCCTTCAGAATTTGTACTTTAGTGCAAGCTGTCTTCTGATAGTTTGGGAGAAGATCTTGCAGTTCCTGGAAAGCCTTACGCAATAGCTTAACTCGTTTTTGCTCGCGTTTATTCTTCTCGATTCGCCTTCTTTCCCTGTTCATACTTGCCGAGTTGTTAATTTGAATGTGGTCAGCACTTTCGAGCAACGGCTTTTAACACTCACCGCGATAACAATCAACGGATTACTGTTTGGGTTAACAGATACGTCTATTTACAATAATGTTCTCATTTGCGAGCGACAGCAGAATAGTCGCTATCGCTTTTTTGTCACATGCTCAGTAATGAAGCGAAATTTTCCCACGGAAGATTTTCGCAATCGGGAGCGCATTCACTGTCCTGCGAGGATTACCTTTTTCTATCAAAAACTATTAAACTTTGGTTCAAACTTTTAAGAGGGCATTTTACTTCGTAACGGCAGTAGTTAAATACAATCGGAAGTTGTTAAAAGGGGATCATTCTCAAGAAAAGCAAGTGTCATACTAAAACATCTCAGGATAATCCAAAGTTAAACTGATGATTGAGATGTTTTGAAAACCACTACAACCAATCCTGTTTGGCTGCTGTTAGTCACAAAGACGACTTTAATACCTCGACTCTTTGTCCCCGTGAGAGCAGAAACTCGCATTAAATGTTGACAATTCTCTGGCTGGCTCTCCCTTTATGAGGTGCTTAAGTTTATTTTCTTTAGATCTCTTTTCAGAGTTGCTTGGTTTAGATAACACTGAGATTATTTTCCAGTTCATCTTACACTGAAGAAGATGTCAACAACATTAATTCGGCAAATCACGGATAACTTGTGTTACCTGATTCGTTACTTTTTCTCTTGATTTTCTAAAAGCTATAAAATACCCGCTACAGATCAGCTATTTCTCCAAATGAGTCTTTGCGGCATAGGCATTGGTTGCACATAACCTTTGAAAATTTCACCGATCACCATAACACAGATAAGCAATATTGAATTCCGCCCGTTTAAGATCACACACACAGCCCATATGCAACTCGTCACATTTTAACTAAACAGCACAAACATTTTCTTGAAAACGAGAAACATTAGAAGCAGCAAACCGAATAAAACCTTTGGTGTAGGTCCGAAGCGTGTGAAAAGAGAAGCTAGCCGGTGTCCTGGCGGCCCCTATTCACAGAACTTTTCGTGCCCTAACCCC